GAGGAAAACTGGAATGTGTATCAACCGTGCATCCATTGTGTGACTATGCACGATGTCACACAATGTCCGGCTGAACTCTGAGCATCGCTTCAGAAAGAACGTGTACTAAGTTGCTGAGGCCGACTGGCTGAAACCAGATCTCGAGCAAGTGGGGACTCGGGTGTGGCTACCTAACAGCGATGGGTAACGTTTGTCCAGTCCGTTTATACGGGCGGAAGGGTTGTGAATAGAAGAAAGATTGACCAGACAAACTGCGATTTCGAAGGCACTGCAACAGAACTCAGTGGTCGCTGGATTGCCACCATCATAAAAATGCCAGATGATTTGAGCAGTGAGTATACAGGGTCTTGTAGATGCCTGCTTTTCGGTATCGTAGTTGAAAAGATAAGTTTTTGGCAGATAATCAGAAGATTCACATGATTGCAGTCTAGCCAGGCCACTAGGCCAGTTAAAAAGACGTAAACTACTGCATCATGAAGTCCAAGCCAACTTCTTGGTCGGATTGCCCTTGAACAGAGAGCAATATTTAATTTGGCAAATCTCAGGACAAGCGAGTCTTGATGGTGAAGATAGATCGTACACGATCTAAAAAAACATAGTGGTAAGATATCTGGCAAGAAAAGACTAAGAAGACGTTCTTTTCTACGCCGATTGCTTTTTGGTCAACTGATTATTGATTACCAACATCTCTGAAAATTTCTCAAATCTGTGTATATCTGTTCTCTATAATAATACCCTGGGGCTAATCGGGCTCATTTAACGCAGCTACCTAAAATCCATTGACTCTTGGTACCTAATTTAGTGAACTCCCGCTGTGGCAATGTTGCTGAAGATAGGTAGCTCGGGTGCGCTGATTGGTTGTTGGTCTATTCTCCGAGCTTGGCAGTTGGATTGCAAACGTTTCATCACCGGTCAAGATGACATCTTCCGCGTGACTCGGCCACTCAACCCCACACAAACAATATTGATGAAACGTCTGCAATCCAACTACCAAGCGTGGCGAACAGATCAACAACCGATTTCCGCTGTGTTGTGGATCGTACTGAAGAACTTCCTCGTCCCAGATTCGACGGACTCTTAGCTTACCAGAACTCGTTCAGTTTCTTGTGGACCCGGAAGAGCATATATTCACACCAAATTCTTGGTTAAATCAGCTGTTACTAGGTTGTAAAGTGTTCTATCATAGATTCAACCCCACAATATTTCAACCTCAGCTTGAAAACTCAGCTGCCTTACCAAATGTTGTTGCAATAGTTTTCGCGGAAAAAGACAGTTTGCAAAATGGCAGATTCTATTCGGGCAGAATAGGAAATTATATAAAAGATTGAAAAGGAAAATTCTCAACACCTACAGGAACGTCGACTTATTGCGTTCAGCCCAAGTCTGCTTGAAAGAGGAAAGGACTTATGTCGGCCAGTGAGCTCAGACCCGTTCGACAATTATGCTCGTCTGAAGCGCAATCGAAACACTCGCTACAAGTTGTCGTCTCGCATAATTGCTTGAGGCTATTTCATCTTATAAACTTATATACCACACTGCCATCAGATGTAGCAAAGGTATTTCGTTGTGATGGAACATGAAACGTGACCATGACCTAGAGTTATTTTTCCAAGTCTTCTAGGAAGCAGTCTATCTTCATTTGAGAAGGTCCTTCGTGCGTCTGTCTACTTACAGTAGATGGATGGAAGACAGGTTGCAGCGGTGGTCACCCACTTATCTGGTGATGAATTCTCACCGCTGATAGCAACTTCTAGTAGACAACTTCCTTAACAGACTGAGGCAGTGTATAGGTTGTCGTTCCGCATGCCAGCAAATGAAGTCTCTAAGTTGGACACGCGTGGCATATCCGACATGCATGCTCGTCGTACCCTTTGCTTAGTTGTTTCGTCCACATTAGCACGAATTCTGTCCACCAGGCAGCATTTACTTTGCCAGCATAAACAGTTGTTGATTCCACTTGACAGGCATCAGAAGATTATCGGAATCCAGCTAGTCGGATCCTCTCTGATCAACTTATCTGTGAAAGAAAAAACAAGCTGGTTAGTACATACTACTGATGCAGTTTGGAGTACCTTGTTGCTTAGGCTATTCATTATGATGAAGCAGCATATGCAAGCCCTGTTGGACGACAGATGAGAAGCGTCCTCCATCTGAGATTAGAGAGACGTTCGGTTGTTGATTGTGCACAAACAGGATTTTACAGAGTAAACGATTTTTGTAACAGATGGAAAGCAAAATTTCAAGTCAATAAACAAGGAAGAATGTATCCTCACTGTGGAAGACCGAACTGTTTCCCACCTTGCAATTTGATGTTGCCTGTTAGACCCTTCTCGGTCTTTCAAACGGTCTTTAGTTGTTCCTTAGTACCTATGTGCGCGATAACTCATCACTGATTCCATTTTCTGTTTTGGCCTCTAGTTCGAGCTCGTGCCTTGGTCTATTCCCCTTCTCTTTACTGCTCCAGCAAATTTCACCAACGGGATTATCATGGTCACTCTTCAACACCAGCCATAAGCCGGTTCACGATCACCCCAAATTCCAAGCTCCAGTAAACGATTAGATACCGCATTTCAACGTGGTTCTCTGTCTCCAGATAACTCAGTTTATCCAGGCACAAGAGGGACATAACTCCTTTTCCAGTAGAGTGCACATTAGATGATGGCTGCTAGGTAGCTATGTTGTGATCTTTCTGAGAAAGTAGCTTTCCTCCGAGGAGCTTTTTTGGGGGAAGGGGGGTAATAGGACTCCCTTAGAGAATATGCTCTGCTACCTCATGTGAAATTCTCCTCTAATCTATATGAAAGCTTACGTGTTGTCCGATAGTCTTTCTAGCTTATCTTTAAAAAATCCTGAAGAATCGATACTCTTGTTGAGAAGGCGGCTTATCTTTCATTTCGGCGAAATCGTCCTACCTAACTTGCGGCACTTCAACAGTCGTACAAACCGCCTATCTACGAATGTTCAGTTATGTTGAATTTCGAACACCACCAAGGTAAAAATCAGATTGTCACCGCTTTTCGCTTTTTGAAGGAAGGAATAAAAAATGCCATTACAGGGTGCTTGAGTAAACTAGCGCCTGTTCATTTGAGAATAACGAGTAGTTGAGTTTCCGATCCATGGAGGATACCCTGAATTAGACTTTGTCTAAGCGAGACCAAATGAACAAGTGGGGTATTTTACGAATGGGAACCACTGTTGGTCTCCTTTCTGGCCTCCAGTGGTGACATTGAAAACTTCAAATGTTTCATCACCAGTCGAGTTGATGGTGTCATATGATGACTGCCATTGTCACCTTGGTTATTGGTTAAATGTTCGCAGTCCACAATTTATTTTGACGAACAAACTCAGAACTGGACAGGGCACTCCAGCAACTCAACGAGCCACATATCGAACCAGTTCGCTTAGAGCCATTTCATTACATCTGGGATACGTGGCAAATGTAATGGGTCCCTGTTAGACCGCAGCTATACAGCCAAGTAGCCTATCCCACACACGAATGGTCAAAATATTGGTCCGCTTACCGGTCCAGCATCAAGGCGAGCTCTGATTGGCTGAAAGTGTTGAACCAAAAGTCGGCCATTATCCACTATCCGCCCAATGCCGGTTACCAGTGCCGCATTGAGGTGTTGGAATCTCCACATCTCTGCATATACTTTGTATGTGACGCCCTGTACGAATGTTTTTGGCATGGTTCTGGACGTTAATACACGTTGTGCAGCCCTGGTTTTTGTCCTGACGGAAACGCTAGCTTTGAAATTTCAGACTGACTAAGCTGAGAAAATACCGTTATTAAAGACCCGCGGTATGAATACGATTCGTGTGATCACATATGTTGTAATGCTTGTGAAAAGGATCAAATAAACGAGTTACGCGTCTTGTCTGTTGTTGCTCTTCTGATTCAACGTAATGAATTGGACAAACCAGGGCGAGGGACAACATAACAAGAATCGAATTCTTTGAATGTCGAAAAGTGTTAGAATGGGCGATCAGCGGGGGAGGGTGGCATCGGGGAAGTGACTGACATCAGACAAAAAGCAGCATGAAAGTTGAAAAATAGCAGTCAGTGTGTGCGCCACAAGGCATGTTGTGAACTACAATCTTGTCCTCATCAAGGAGCCTGAAAACAATGAAATGTCCGCATATAACAACGCTTTGATTATGTTACTTTGCATGATGGTGAAGGGTGTGCGAAACAAACGGCAACCGCCATTGACATCAAAATCTCACCCACTATTTCTAGAAATTGCAAACTCTCAGAGATGGGATCAAAGTGGATAACAACAATACTGCTCCAACATCCGAAAACTACAGGAGCATCAGTGCGTGAGTCGTAAATGTTGGAATATATGGGCGATATCTGCCAGGCTGCCTGAAGGCTCTAGAATTTTACTGCAGAAAATACGGACACAAACGGCACCTGAGTATTATGACAGAAATAACAGTCTGCCTGATACCTCCAAACATCTTCAAAGTTCTCTGTCTCGAGATACCGCTCTCAAAATTCGCGCTTTGAGTCACCAAAGAACAGCTTGCAAAGGTGCTCTTGAGTAAGCTTTCCGAATTTCACCATGAGATCTCCACTAGTTCATAGGTCATAAATGATGTGACCAGTACCCAGCAGTTGGACGCCGAATTTCCGCTGCATATGGGGGCGTCTAACCACCATGATCACTCGTCACAAAAAAATAGGTGTGTCTATTCAACACCGAGAAAATGTTATATAGTTGGCCTGTTAATGAGATTGAAATGTGTTGTAGCGCATCCAAAATTCGACCGTGATGATGATTTACTCCTCTTCATCCGCTTCCAAATACAGCGAGAATAAAATATTGTTCTGAATATGGTGAACGTTAGCGCAGAATTCTGTGAATGGTGTCCATTTGAAAACCCGACTTAAGGAGGTAACCAACAGCCACCAGATGTACTTAGTCCCAGTCATAGCAATACAAACCATACTTTTCATGTATCATTAGTTGGTAGTTTTCTTCCTACATTTTCAGCTTATTTGGTGTCATTATTAGGCGATTACGGCGTGCACTACACCCTTCTATTCTCTCTTGCATCTAATCTCGACATGGAGCGACCCACCTCCCGCAATAGTCTAATTGTCTAATAAAGAAACGGATCACATTCTACGACGTACAATTTTTCATGATGATCATCACTAACTAGATTTCACAAAACGGTGAACTCGCTGATTCAGTACCTTCAGTGCCTACATTAACTCAATCAAGACTGAAGGTCTAAATAAACTGGAAACTCTCGTGTATCACACTGATCTTACAGCGTGTGACTTCATTGCAGAATGTCACGGGTACCATTCCGCGATAACTCTGCTGGAGAAGCGTTATATTCGCCCAGAAAATACCGTGTGTGCACGCCAACTTCTAGCTACCTATAAACAAGAACCCTGTTATAATGTGAACCAGTCCCTCCCAAAACTGAAGTCACTTGCTTTGAGTTCACAGCAGCACTTGCTATGGAACATACAAAAAACAGACCGATTTACCTTGAAAACCGGACTGCAATTGACAAAACCTGCTAGCCTGGCACGAGTTATTCTTTGACAAAACTCACAAACCCGCACGAGCTTTCGAAGTGGCATAGAAACATTTACAAGCTTACATATTCGTCATCTCCTAATACAGGAACTTTTTTTAAAGCTACGCAACAAACACGTTGCTTTCATTGGAACCCCAAGTACCATCATAACATGTGCTCTGCTAAGGAATCGGTTCCCAAATCTTGTTGAACAACAGGACACTTTTAGCTCGTCTGTAGATCTATCACCTCAGAATATCATGTTGGGTAAGCACCGAATTCCTCGCTCTATTCACTTCTCCGCGCCGCGGCTCCCAATTTCATCGCTAAAACAACAGATATTTTGAACAGCGGCGTTGCTATCCTAGTTTTTATTAATACCAGCAGCTCCGGAAGTTTCATTTCTTCGTCAGTTCTACATGCTCATAACTGCAAGCCATGTCCGTTTGATTCTGTGATAACAGTAGCGTCGACGATACATTCATGTTCCACCTTAGGTTATTGCCTTGTTTCCATTCGGTTCAAGGGCGCCACATACGAACGGTCAAAACTTTGTGTATTACCGAAACTCTGTGCAGACGTCCTTCTCGCATATGCCTTCTTGGGGTCACATGATAAAGTCGAAATTTTATTAGACGGCCAACAAGGCACCCCAATTCTATGTGGACTGACGTCCCCATCTTTATTCACTTATCTTACTGCGATTTTCGGGAAATTGCCACGAAACACGTACACAGGAAAACGAAAAATTCATACTAACCAAAGTAGACTGATGCCAAGATCAAGATGCCACTCCAAGATTCTCCATGGAGTGGGTAAGGGCTCCCAATGCGCTATATGAATCACATTAGTCATTTGGCCACAGACTACAGCCAGACTGGTAATATTCACTATTGGTTCCAGCTAGCCTACTATCGTTTTAGACGATTAAGATGCCCTCGTGCATCTCATCTGGAACTAGAACCCTTCAACTCTCGCAACAGTCTCAAAAATACCAAAGTTGGTAACGAGAACGCAGGTTCTTAACCAGGCAACACATTGATCAACGGCAAGCATCTGAGCTACCCTTCTGACTGACGAAGCAACCACGCAGTTCTCCAAACCAACTAGTTACGTCGAGTAGTCTGCATACGCAACATGGATTGGGACACTTACGCAGTACGACATTTTAGAGGAGACAGGGTTCTACGACGAGGATCACTCGGACAACTGACGATAGACATTTGTCCCGAGGAAATCATCCTTTTTCGGACAACAGTTGTCCAACTGTTATTCAACCTATTACTCTCGGAATTTACCACTTTCAAATATGAATCGAAAGCGTGAACCTTATTTCCGTTTTCTTTTGGTTCGAAAATAATTTTTAAAAAAGAGCAACAATTCATAGCACATCTGGGTGTGTCAATACGGAATGCATAGTTCATGCCAAAGAAAAAGAACACACCAATAGCGGGACCCCATTATCGTTTGTTCGACCAACTAACTCGAATGAATGGTAATCACATGTCAAAGAAGGTATGCGGAATTCACAGCAACCATGACAACTAGTGAGTTTGGTTTCAAATCAAACGGAATATAGACAACGTCAGTACTGATCGGGTCAGTTGAGTGTTTTGTGTACTGAGAAGCTACTCTCAACGTAGGTGATTTGTAAAGACAAATTACCGTTCAGGCCTCAACAACAGCAAGGTAAGGTGAGAAGTGTGAAAATCTTGAGAAGTTTGACCTCTTGGACGTTTTGAGGCCTACATAATGAAGAGTCAAATATACTATTATATAACTGCATTCATTGAATTACCAACGTACCACTCAATGAGACAATAGACTATGTTTGTGACTTGATTGAGTGGAATCGATTGAGTGACTTGATTGCTATTGGAATTCCAATCTCGGATCTTAAGAAACTCCTGCTCCTTTGTACCTACACTGTTCAGTTTACCTTCAACAATCAAATTTATCGACAGAAGGACGGAGTCACGAGGGGTTCTCCTCTAGGTCCCATGTTGGCAGATTTTTTCACGACCAAGCTAAAGACTCAAAAATTAGACGAACTCGTTGGACGGTTAACACTGTAACGTCGCTACGTGGATGACATTTTTGTACTTGCCAACGAAACCATCAGCACATCAGACGTGCTAAGCAGTTTCAATTCAGTCCAACTAATACCAAGATTACCATCGAATCAGAACGGAACGGACAGTTAAGTTTCCTCGATGTTAATGTTAAAAAGAAGACTGACAGAACCATAAAACGCAAGATCACAGAAAGCAAGCATGGAAAGGTTAGTATATTCACATTTATAGCTTCGTTCCGTTGAAAAAAAGCGTAACCTAATTAGATGCCTGCCTGAGAGAGCAATGAAGATATGCTCCCTCGAGTACTTAGAAGAGAAACTAAAGTTCTTGGGACGCACATTCCTGCAGAACGAATATCCTGAAAGGTTCGTTCTCAAGACTATGGAAGACGTTAAGCCCAAACCTACACGATGTTCCGTTGGGAAGCAGCCCGTATACTTGAAACTTCCACTCAAAAGTGACTCGGTTGCTGAACAAATCACCAGAAGGCTTAGAAACTCTGTTGATACGAAATACTTGGCCACTGATCTGTGTTTGAGCTTCAAGTCCAGCCCCGCTATCAAATTCTACTTGAAGGACAAATTACCTCGTTCTACCACCAACTTTTGTGTGTACTCATTGGTATGCTCGTGCCGAGCATCATACGTTGGTCGTACGACAAGGCATTTGTCGGACGGAATGCGAGAACACAATCCCGTATCTCTGAGTGGTAGTGGGAAGAAACCAGGCTTAAGCTCGATTGCATCACACTTGGCCGAAACCAGTCATGTCATAGACAAGGAGCAAGCTTTCACCGTCATATACCGGGCACGTCTGAAGCGATCACAATTGGTACGATCCAGACTACTATCGACCGCAGAGGTGATTGGAATCCGACTGCTGAATTCGCAACTTTGCATTCAAAAGAAACTTTTCGACCTCTGAACTTGAACTGACCCACGAAACATCCTGACATTGACCTCACATACCTGATTCCGTGACCCATTGACCTATCCCTCATCCAACCCCTCTTCCTTTGATATATTTCTCTAAAATGTATGTAGCCCGATCTTAAACTTTTTCAAGCGATTTCTGGTACCATATAAATTTGCTATGTAATAGCCAAGAGGAAGAATCACAGAAAACAAGCCTTGTTCGCTACCTTCTTCGTTCTCATGACTACCACGGGTGTATTCAGCCATTAAATTAAAGTAATGAGTTTGTTTATTTCCTCGTGATGCCGGCTGGGTAGCCACGACGTCATTCTGCGTGAGCAAGAGTTCAGAAACTTCAGACAGGGCTAACCACTATGTTTGGTTTCAACGTATGGGCTATTTTCGACAATGAACAATACGATTCAGCTAGGCCTTCTGAACCAGTTTCAAACAGCGCACAAGAGAGACTCATGGGGTTCACGTGTGAGGAATGTGTCAAGTGCCGCGAATCGAAAGCTGTCTTTGTAGACCATCATCTTTTTCACGTCAATGGAAGTTCGTCCGCCATGTCGATCGCCTAACTGCCTTTCTGTGATTGTCCCCACTCTTTTCCGGAGGAAGAGTGGCCTCAGTCTTCTGGATGGCGGGTATCCTCCAGTTATCATATTGCAGATGACCTCAAATGAATGAAGAATCCAGGTACATACTTGTCGTCGTAAGAATAAAGCATGTCCAACTAGTTTTGATGCGTTGTCCTGTTTGTTAATAACGACATCTCCCGCATCTTTATCTGTTTTAGGAATGATTAGATCCAGGTTTTTTCATTTGAATTACCAGTACCGAATTCGCTATATAAACCACAGTGAACCGTCAAGTATCTTGATGCATTGAAAGGCAGGTAGTAGATACTTCGGCGAGCAGAACGTTGTCGTTTTGCACCTTGCAAATTGTGCAAACAAATGATATGATCATTCATTAGTATCTCCTTTCGACTACTTCTCATAGTCATCAGGAACGCCGACCGAAAATCAACTCAACGTTTTCTGCCATTCACACACCGATCAGCTAACGTTGTCCCTTTACCAAACTAGTTTACGGTCCGGAACCGATTCTCTTAAAACGCAACTACTGAGAGTCTAAATGTGACCCCATGTTAGGGAAATTGGAGCTCCACAGTACGCCCGTATCGGTCGTTCAGACGGCGACCACGAAACCGTATCCACAGGCGAACCTCGAGTCAGACACTGCTTGTATTTGGTTTTCACTCCATAGGCCGTAATAGGAAGGACACACGTTGCAGATGAATAGCTCATCTGGTGTGTACATGGTTTTAAAGTTAGCTGAACCCCTTGCGAGAAGTCGAGACAATTAACAGGGGAATATAGCCACATGCTTTACGGGACCTGAAAACTCCAATCCATTGTCCTTCAAGCAACCGTAAGTTCCTAGTTTAGGTATCCAACTTTGCAAACCTCCCCATCTCACTGTCAAACTTAATCGGCAGAATTTCAGCGCAGCAACAAGAAACCGGGCTAACAACGGTTGTCAAGTGGTCAATTCCTGGCGATACGTGCTGTTGCTAA